AAATTTTTTTTAAATATTTATTTATTTTTATTTGCATTGGTGTTTACCTACATGTATGTCTGTGTGAGTTTGTTGGGTCTTTTGGAACTGGAATTACAGACAGTTATGCGCTGCCATGTGGGTGCTGGGAATTGAACCTGGGCCCTCTGGACGGGCAGCCAGTGCTCCTGACAGCTGAGCCTAAATTATAAAACAAATTTTTTAACTTAAAAGTAGACACGTGGGGCTGGAGAGATGGCTCAGAGGTTAAGAGCACTGGCTGCTCTTTCAGAGGTCCTGAGTTCAATTCCCAGCAACCCAACCATATGGTAGCTTGCATATATGCAGGCAGAATGTTGTATACATAATAAATAAATAAATCTTAAAAAAAAAGAAAGACACGTTTTGCTATTAAAATGATGCATATCTAGGCATCCCATAGTCCTTGCACTTGGGAGGAGGTGGAGGCCGAAGATTATTGCAGTTTTGAGGCCTCCTCCTTGTTCTACCCTGGGAGTTCCAGGCTGCCCAGAGCTACACAGCAACAAAACAGAAACCTGGGCAAACAAAAAAAGATATGTGCTGGGCATGGTATCTCAAACCAGACATCACAATTGCTGGGAGGCCGAGGCAGGCCTGAGACAAGTTTAAATTCCTGCCCTACTCGGGCACAATGGTTAGTATTAATTCCCAATTTGATAGACTCTGGGGGATGGGCCTCTGGGCATGTCCACAAGGGATTATCTAGATTAAGGTTAGCCTCTGAGAATGCCTATAGAGATTTATCTTGATTACAAACCATTAGTTAAGTGGTAAGACTTTTTCTTTTTTTCTTCTTCTTTTTTCTTTAGGCAGGGTTTCTCTATGTAGCCCTGACTATCCTGGAACTTACTCTGTAGACCATGCTGCATGCTGGCTGCAAATTTAGGGATCCACCTGCCTCTCTGCCTCCCAAGTGCTGGAATCAAAGGCCTGTGCCACCACTGCCTGGCCATATTTTCAGTTCTGAATAAGTGAATTATTAAGTACACAGCAAACCAAAGTAAAAGAATAAATAGTGGATGGATGGATGGATGGATGGATGGATGGATGGGAAGGAAGGAAGGATGGACCAACAACATTAAATCATCTGTCTAAGCATCCGGAAGAAATGAGCTGGGGAAGCCCAGGGAAGCAGCCAGCTAGAGTTCTCCATCAGAAGTCCCTCCAGACCAGTGTCCCTCAAGCGAGGCTTCCAAGTAAAGGAACAGCGACAGAGATCAAGTCAGATCAAGCTCTCACCAACATCCAGCAGAAACTAGAGGAGCTGAAGCAGTCAGAGGGGTCCCGCTGAGCACCTCACATGGGCAAGCCAGTCATGACTGGACTCCCGGCTTCCGTTTTCCACTGCAGGCATTCTTTTGCCATGGAATAAGCACTGATAGCTTCTGCTGGAAATAGTTCATTTTCCAGCTGTGTTCTAGGCACAGGGTCCAGAATCAGCCAGGGGATAAGGCTCTGGACATGCCTGTTTTATTGTGTTCTCCTCCCCTGCCAACCATGCCGGAAACACAATGCCTTGAGGACATTTGGAGAAAAAAAATGTGCTGAAAGGGGCAGGGGCGCGGTGAGTACAGTTGGTGGGGCAAACCTGCGTCCAGAGTTATGTTTCAGTGAGCCCAAACAACACGTGGTGATTTATTATACTGTGATTGGTGCTCATATTGATATCTAGACTCTTGATCATTGTTTGCTTCATCTGTTCCATGTTGGGTTTTTTTTTTTAAAGCAGATGGGTAAGCTTTGCCATGATCAGTATAGACAGGGCTGCCAGATCCCAGAAAAGACGATGAAGTCATGACCCGAGAGGTGCAGACAAATGACTTGAAAGAAATGGTTTACTGCGTGCAGTGGTGCACCCCTTTAATCCCAGCATCTGGGAGGCAGAGGCAGTTGGCTCTGAGTTCAGCACCACCCTGGTCTGCATGGTGAGTTCCAGGCCAGCCAGGTCTACATAGTGAGATCTTGTCACCAAAACACAGAAAGCAAGCAGTGGTTAATAGGAGGAGTTGGGGGTGGCTGTTGGGAAAGCGCTTGTTGTGCAAGCATGAGGATTTGGTTTGGTTCCCAGCACCTATGTAAAAAGCCAGGCAGAGTGGTACTCACTTCTGATCCCCTGACGGAAGGGCTGGCCAGGGGGGGTCCTGCGGCTTGTTCCATGCCTAAGTCTAGCCCAGAAGGTGAGCTGCAGGTTCAGAGAGACCCTGTCTCAAAAAATGGAAAGTGATCAAAGAAGATACCTGATGTTGACCTCTGACCTCTGCATGTGTGTGTGTGTACACATGTACCTGCACATACATGCACACACATAAACAAGTATACACATATACCACATAAGAAGAAAGTGATTAATAAGCTGTTTCCAGGGAGCACTAGGAAAGATCTGTTCATGATATCTTTCCTAATAGTAACAAATTAAAAGTACTGTTTAAAAAACAATAGATATATTTTGCTTTACAGGAAAAAATTGGAATTATCAGACACTTATCTGCCATGCATGACCTCCTAGATTTGGTTCCCAGAGCCACAGGGTTTTTTTTGTTTTGGATTTGGTCTTGTTNTCACAGTCCAGCTGGCCTTGGTGAGCTCCCAATAGATCAGCCCCACTGTCTCCGTGGGTGGGTGCACCCCTTGTGGTCCTGACTTCTTTGCTCATATTCTCCCTCCTTCTGCTCCTCATTGGGACATTGAGAGCTCAGTCCGGTGCTCCAGTGTGGGTCTCTGTCTCTATCTCCATCCATCTCCAGATGAAGGTTCTATGGTGATATGCTTATTATATCAAGACTAGTCTACAAATTGAATGACAGAGTGTAGTTTTATTGCCTGTTGAATATGGCAGTGCTTTGCTGGTTTTTATTGATGAGTAAGATTGCAAAGTATGAATGTCATGCCCATTCTGGCAGCACATACATTAAAATTGGGATGATACAGAGAAGATTAGTATGGCTCCTGCACAAAGTGTGAATGCCCTCCTAGTGGGAACACAGGCATTTCCAATCTGCAACTGTTCTGAATGATGCTGGCATAAATGCCTGTGCATAATTTATTTGTGTAAATGCAAGGCTTAGTATTTCTGCTTTCATGGGAGTGGTATGTTCAGGTTTTTAGAAAAAATACCAAAATGTTTTCTGCAGTGGGTGGGCTGTTGTATACCGCCACTAGCAACATCTGAGTGATGCAGTTTCTCTGTCTTCTCCAGCATTTGGCATAGTCAACTGGCTTTTATTTTAGACATCCAGGTAGATGTGCAATGATGTCATGTTGATATTTGTGTTCTCTCAGGAAAATGCTGAGCATCTTGTAGAGAGACAGAAGATCTTATTTATTTGCCTCCTGTATATCTTCTTTGGGGAAATTTTTCCCATCTTTTGCCCATATTCTAATTGAACTTTTAATTTTCATGTGTTTTTAGAGTTTTTAAAACAACTTAGAGGATAAATAGTTTTTTTTTTTTAAAAAAAGTGGGAGGTGGAAGGATGGCTTAGCAGCTCAGAGTACTTGCTGCTCTTCTAGAGGACCCGGATTCAGTGCCCAGTCCCTGTGTCAGGCAGCTCACCAGGACTTGCAGTGCCTCCTGAGCTCAGCCAGTACCTGCACACAGGTGGATGTGTGTGTACATACACGAACACACTTTTAAAGTAAAAACAAATAGATTGGTTTGGGCTAAGACAGTTGTAGAGCTCTTGCCTGGTCTGTGCGAGGCACTGGCTTTGATCCAGCGGCTATAAATATGCCCTTCCCACCCCCTACAGATCCTTCCCTTAGATCTGTTAAAGCCTTGTCTCTCTGGTCTGTGTTCCAGCATTTCAGAGCCCCCAGGCCAGATGATCTGTCTTCCTTCCAGCTCTGCCTTCCCTTTGGTGAGATGTGCAGGCGTTGGGCAGCAGGGCTGGAGGGACGGACTGCTGCTCCGTAGGGTTGCTGGGAGAACTTAGCTCCTCTCTGCTGCTGTCTCGGCAGGGACTTACGGTTAATTGAAGTCACTGAGACCATTTGCAAGAGGCTTCTGGACTACAGCCTGCACAAGGAGAGGACTGGCAGCAACCGGTTTGCCAAGGTTGGCTTTGTGCTTGTGCCTCCTTCCTCTGGGCCCGGCCCTCGTGAATCTCAGTGTGTCTGCTGGCGTATGTGGGTGATTGGTAGGTCATGCCTGGGAACCCTCCTTCTTTCCTCTTGCGCATTCTTGGATAGCCGTTTGTATTTCTTGCTGAGCACTGACTGCATTGGCAGAAGCTGTGTTTATGATGGTCTGGGCTTGCCCCGGGTTCCACCTCCATGGCAGAAACAGTCAGAAATGCCCCGGGCTGGCAGCTCAGCAGGGTTCCCACAGCAGTGTGCCAGGGAGATGGCAGAAGACAGACTAATGAACTGGGAAGAACTAATGAACTTCCCAGGTGGAGGCAGGAGGAGCAGAAGTCAGGAGTTCAAGGCTAGCTTCAGTGGGATTGAGTCTGGCCTGGGTTACATCAAATCCTGTCTTAAACAATTAAAAAAATCAATGATTGTGAGTTCCTCCTGTGAGCCACCCAGATCCACCCCCTCAGGCCCCTGCTGGGCGCCTGTGTACACTGGTGCTTTTCTCTGGAGAAGGAGCCAGTAGGTTCTTATTTGTCTTGTGTCTTCTGTACCCGCCACCCACATTTTCCTCCTAAGTTCCCTTCTGTCCGAGGACATCAGGCAGAGCCTCTGAGACCCACATTGTTTCAAGCCGTCAGTTGATCCATGATCGCTTTTATAAAAAGTGTTTAAATTCTTCTCTCCTTCCCGAGTGCTGTGTGTCCCATACCCATTTGCCCGGGAATTTAGGAGGCAGGAAGATCTTGACTACATAGGCGACAAAGAACAAAAACCAAAATACTGGTAGCAAACTCTTAGAAACATTATGTTAATCTGTGAGCACGGCTTATACTGGGTTGTGCATTTGATGTGGTACAGTGCAATCAAAAACTAGAGCTGGGCAAGGGGTGCACACTGCTAATCCCAGGACAGGTGTGGGGGTACACACTGCTAATCCCAGGACAGGTGTGTGGGGACTACAGAGCAAAGATCCTGTGATGTACTACTGCTTACATAGAAAAGCAGGGTGGGACATAAATCAGAGTTTCTGTTTGTTTTTTTCTGGTAAGGGATTTTAAGTCAGTGCTTTGCACAAGCCAGGCCAAAACTCTTCCCACTGAGCTATACCCAGCCTGTGTGTGTGTGTGTGTGTGTGTGTGTGTGTGTGTGTGTGTGTGTGTGTGTGAATTGTCTCTAGCAAGGGAGAAGAGTGGTAGTGAATCATCTCTGGGGACAGAAGCTAGCAGGGAAGCCAGTCTAGTTTTTTCATGGCATAAGGAATGCTTTAGGCCACAGCTGTGCTTTTCCTGCCAAGGAAAGATATAAGCTAGGAAGAGCATGGTGTGGTGAGTGGGCCTGGGTACTGGGGAGGGCTCCTTATGCTACAACACTTGCTGGCACTGGAGACGGCTCACCAGTTAAGAATATTTACTGCTCTTGCAGAGTCTCAGCACCCATGTGGTAATTCACAACCTTCTGTACTATGATGGGTCATGACTTCTGTGGGCACCAGGCATGCACATGGTGCAGGAAAAACACACACAAAATAAAATGAATGAATCTGATAAAAAAATTTTATAAAGCCAGGTGTGGTGTTAAATGCCTTTAATCCCAACACTTGAGAGGCAGAGGCAGGCAGATCTCTGTGAGTTCCAGGCCAGCCTAGTCAACAAAGCAAGTTCTAGGACAACTAGGGCTTGTCTCAAAAAACAAAACAAACAAAAATTAAAAAAAAAAAAACACTTGCAACCCCTTTTTACCAAAAAAAAAAAAAATTTTATGTCACCTGGGTATATAGTTACATCAAATAAGTGTAGGCATCAGACAGTTCTTAGGCGAGGGAGATGGCTCAGTGAGTGAAGTGTGAACTGAGTTTGGATCCCCAGTGCCCCATAAAGACAGATGCAGTAGGATGTGCCTGTGGGCCCAGGGTTTGGCCTGCACAGTGGCCCTGTCCCAAAACAGGGCTGAAGGGAAGCAGCATCCAGGGTGGCTCTCCGTCTCCACAGCCTGCACAGAGACTAAAAACAGCTAAATGCTGGCTGAGCATTTGGTGCTATAGGACAGCATCTTCAACGTTTTTCAGAGTTGGTTTATATTTTGATTTTGTAGTCATAAATGCTGAGAGCTTCTGCTTTATGTACATATGTATCCAGCATGCAGGAGTTTATGTAGAGCCATTTAAGAACATTGGAATTCTATCTTCAAACCAAGTCTGCGATTTTACTGAATGCTTTTTATGAAATTCAGGTCGTTTCTATGAAACTCAAACAGCAGTTTTGACTTATCTGTTTGTTTATTGTGAGGCAGAGTCTCTCTACAGAGGCGGAACTTTTCTTTTGTCCCAACCGTCTGATCCCAGATAATCACACAGAAGCTTATATTAGTTACAAAGTGTTTGACCTTTAGCTCAGGCTTATCACTAACTAGCTTTTACAACTTAAATTAATCCATTTTATTAATCTATATTTTGCCACATGGCTCATGGCTTTATCTGGTGACTGGCTTGTTTCTCTCAACTCCATACTTCTTTCTGTATTTTTAGTTTGGCTTTCCCACCTAGCCTTATTCTGCCTTGCTATAGGACAAATTAGCTTTGCTATCAGCCAATGACAGTGACACACAGTCACAGAGCACAGAAGGCTATCTCACAGTGCTGTGTAGCTCTGGCTGGCCTGGAGATCACTGTGTAGACCAGGCTAGCCTCAGACTCCTGCTGCTGTCTCCTAAGTGCTGGGACTTATTTTTGTTTTTGTTTTTTAACTTTTAGACAAGGTCTCACTATATAGCCCTCTCTGGCCTAGAATTTACTGTGTAGACCAGGGTGGCTCTGAACTCACAGAGATCTATCTGCCTCTTATCTCTGTTTCTTGGATTCTGGGATTAAAGGTGTGAACTGCCACTCCCAGCCTCAAACTGCAATTAAAAGAAAACCAAACATTGTGACATAAAATAACCAAAAAAAAATTTTTTTTTATTTGGTGCTTGTAGGATAAACAGTGGTGATAGGGAAATATTTGAAGTCTTTATTTTCCAGAATTAAACCATTTTGTTTGCATGATAGTGTCCAGCTACATTGAAGGGGTGGAGCCAAGGATACCTTATTTCCTGGGAAAGAAAGCAACAGTAGCTAGCTTTGAGCATACAGCAGTGAGGGCAGGGCAGGATCTTTGAGCACTCATCGGTGAGGGCAGGTCAGGATTTGTGTAGTTGGGGGTGGTGCAAGGCCAGCCTGAAAGAGGGAGAGAGGTCAGGACCAAGGGCAAGAAGCCCTGGACAGATGGACATCTTTGACCCAGGTTCTCAGACACCATAGAGAAGATGGTGGGAGGTAGATGGCACTGCATCCTGTATCTGGTCGCCTCTTCCAGGGCATGTCAGAGACCTTTGAGACGCTGCACAACCTGGTCCACAAAGGTGTCAAGGTGGTGATGGACATCCCCTATGAACTGTGGAATGAGACTTCTGCTGAGGTGGCTGACCTCAAGAAGCAGGTAAGACCTTGAGCCTGCCGCACTCAGTGGGGTGGGTAGGGCCAGCTCTGCCCTGAGAAAGGCTACCAAGAGCCATTTCTTTATCTATCTATCCTTCCTACCTACCTACCTTCCCATCCATCCATCCATCCGTCCGTCTACCCATCCATCTATCTATTGGAGATAGGTTCTCACTATGTAGCCCTGGCTACATAGTGGAACTCACTGTGTAAAACAGGCTGGGCTCAAACTCACAGAAACACACCTGCATCTGCCTCTGCTTTGAGAATACTGGGGTTAAAGGTGTGCACCACCATTTCTGGCACCTTTTTACTTTTGCCTCAGTTTCCTCAGGCGAGTCATACCTGCCTGCCTATCTCTCCGTGGGTCATGGTGTAGCCAGGGGCCCGGGAGAGAGTTGGGTGTCTGCGCTTTGCCAGTTCCTGGGTGCTTGCTTCGCAGTGTGACGTGCTGGTGGAAGAGTTTGAAGAGGTGATTGAGGACTGGTACAGAAACCACCAGGAGGAAGACCTGACTGAGTTCCTCTGTGCCAACCACGTGCTGAAGGGCAAGGACACCAGTGAGTGGGGAGGGGAGGGGAGGGGAGGGGCGCAGGGCAGTGTCTCCCACCGGAAAGTGAGTAGCGTAGGGTGGGAAAGAGGCATCTTGCCTCAGGGAGCTTGGTGAGGTGAGGTGAGGTGAGGGCTGCAGGCTCAGGAGCAGTGAGCCCGGTGACCCCAGTGATGTGGAAATGGGTGAGAGACCCCGCTTTAGTTGTCCTCCCAGCAGCTCCCCTCCAGTGCTGCTCACCAGCAAACTGCTCCTGAGACCCTTCTGCACCTTTTCTCAGGTTGCCTGGCAGAGCGATGGTCTGGCAAGAAGGGGGACATAGCCTCCTTGGGAGGGAAGAAATCGAAGAAGAAGCGCGGTAGGGTCAAGGGCTCCAGTGACAGCAGCAAGCAGAGGAAGGAATTGAGGAGCCTGGAGGGGGATGCCAGCCCCGAGGAGGAGGAAGGTGTGCAGAAGGCGTCCCCACTTCCACATAGCCCCCCTGATGAGCTGTGAGCCCAACTTCATGTCCTTGAATCAAGACCCCTGACTTCAGAGCTGAAGAGCATGGGACACAGTTCCAGTAAGGAGGCTACTGTCCAGCTTCAGGTCTCTGACCTTGACTGTGCCCTCTTCCTGCCCTGAGCAACAGCAAGAAGTGGACTGAGACCCCACCCCCAAAGGGAAGAGGGGGAAGTATGCAGAAGGCAGCTCTCTCTCTACACAGCCCTCATGAGCTCTGGGTCCAACCCAGCATCCCCAAACTGAGCCCCCTGACCGTGAGGCTGAAGAACACAAGGCACATCCGATGACTCCAGCGTCAGGTCTCCGACTCACCTGCACCCTCTTCACCAGGATGGGCACGGCCCCAGGAAGGACTTAGCGCAGTGTGGCAGCCAGCCCTGCCTCTTCGTCCACCAACCGTTCTCTTCTGCGGGTCCTTCGTCAGGGCATGACTTTCAGAACTTCCAGGATGAGCTCAGTGGTGTGGCACAAGGGGCTGGGCGCCAGAGCTCGAACCCCTGCAGAGCAGGCGGAGAGGGCACCCCCTTGACCCCCAGGGAAGCAAGACTGCAGCTGCAGTGGCTCCCTCACTCCCGAGGACTCTGGTCCCTGCGTCCTCTTCAGCCTTCAGAGTGTTCCCTTGTTGCTCTTTTCTGCCTGTGCCCCCAGTCCTGGGGCAGGGAAGGTGGCGCTGCTGCCACCCTTATTGGATGCCAGTTACTAGGAGGAGCGGGTGCTGAAAATGCCCAGGTTTGGTTTGGGTTAGAGCAGTGGTTCTCAACCTTCCTAACGCTGCGACCCTTTAATACAGTTCCTCACGTTCTGGTGACCCCCCCCCAGCCATAAAGTTATTTTTATTGCTACTGTCTAACTGTAAATTTGCTACTTTTATGAATCTGATTTCTGGAGATAGAGGTTTGTCAAATGGGTCATGACCCACAGTTGAGAACTGCCAGGTTAAAAGTAGGTAGCATGGGTGAGGCCGTGCCTGGACTGACCCTGTCTCCCCGCTGACCCTCACACAGCAGCTGCCATGGTGGCATGGGTGAGGCCGAGCCTGGACTGAGCCTGTCTCCCCGCTGACCCTCACGCAGCAGCTGCCATGGTGGCATGGGTGAGGCCGAGCCTGGACTGACCCTGTCCCCCCGCTGACCCTCACGCAGCAGCTGCCATGGTGGCATGGGTGAGGCCGAGCCTGGACTGAGCCTGTCCCCCCGCTGACCCTCACGCAGCAGCTGCCATGGTGGCATGGGTGAGGCCTTTCCCAGTTGTCTGTGGGTGCCTCCTGTGCACTGTGTCCTGGGCACCTGGCTGCCCTCCTTCCCTCCCTCTCTACCCCAAGGTTTTGCTGTCCGTTGTGTAAAGAGTGTTCACGTCACCACCAGCTCCCGCCCCTCCTGCCGCGTTTCAGCCTTGCCTGTTTTGGACTTTGCTCCCTAACTGATGACATTTGGTCCCTCTGACCCGTCTTCTAGTGGTTGTACCTGGGCACTCAGTCCCCTAACAAGGCCTATTTAAGCCCTGCTCCCCCAGACAGAGAGGAATTAGAGGGCTGCCCTCTAGGGAGAGCACCTTTGACTCTGTCCTGAGAGCCGGGATAAAACATGGTCAAGGTTGCAGGTGTTGACAGCTGTGTGAGCAGTCACTCTCAGCTTTAGGGCAGTGAGTTCCTGCAGTGTGCGTTCCTGCAGTGTGAGTTCCTGCAGTGTGCGTTCCTGCAGTGTGCATTCCTGCAGTGTGCGTTCCTGCAGTGTGAGTTCCTCAAGTGTGCGTTCCTGCAGTGTGAGTTCCTCAAGTGTGCGTTCCTGCAGTGTGAGTTCCTCAAGTGTGCGTTCCTGCAGTGTGAGTTCCTGTAGTGTGCGTTCCTGCAGTGTGCGTTCCTGCA